TGGGCCTGCTACACTGTTTTCATCTTAGGACTTCTCTTTGTTGTCATTCTTGAAATCCTTTTTTCCTTTTTTCTAGATAAGGTACTGGTCATCAAGATCCTGAATAATTTGTTTCTCTATGCTTCTTTAGCATAAATGTTGAGAGTGAACAAAATTTTCAGGAATGTTGAGAATCCTAAGTTGTTAAATTCTGGTAAAGGTTTTACTGCAGTAAAATTTAATGTATTTCATGAGAAATAAGCAAAAAGTGATAATAGGGGGATAAGGAAAAATGTTTGATTTTCAATGTGCAAGTCTTGGGAAAATAATATTTTTTATTTTGCCAAACATTTATTAAGGTTCAAGTTAGTAGCAGGATAAAAGGTTTTTCTTGCAAAGAATTGACATTCAAATCTTATGAAAACTAAAATGTTGAGATCCCATTGTAGACTTTCATTCACAGTGCATTTTTTCTTTGTAGTGTTTAGTACAACTTATTAAACATTTATTTGTGTATACTATTGCTAAGCTTTAAGGTTCCCGAGGGAAAAGATTGAATCTCTGGTCCCTTACTTAGTTTGAGACTCAGCAAAATTGCTGCACCTAGTAGAGCACAGCAAAGAGTCATTCATTGCATGAATGAATGATGCAAATAAAATGAAAACCTGAACCCACAGGGAAAATGAAGAGGATGTTTAATTATTTTAATCATTGTAAAAAGAACAATCAAAGATTTATGAAAATAAATGAAGACTATTCATATGAGAAGAAAAAGAGGCTCTGTATTCAAAGCTTGGAAGGGCATCAGAGTAAGAGGCAGAAAGGAGAGGGGGAAATCTTTGTAGTAAAAGAAAAGGAAAGGCTGCAGGTTTCCCCTGATTGGAGCTACTAACACGAGGAAGCTTCAGGGATCTGCATAGAAGCAGGCTGTCCTTTCTAGTTGGTTTGGGGAGTATATTTGGCTTTCTCTAGTTGGTCTTGAATTGGTTGGGGGCAAAAAAAAAAAAAAATGAAAGCTGAAAGACATTGACAAAGTCCTGATCACTCTAGGCCTACTGCTGCAGAAGTTATGGTCTGGCTTCTCACTTGCTGCGAGAGGTTGTGGGTGAGAGTTTTATGATCATATATGGTCTTGCCATTGCCTATTTGTATATTCAGTATCTCCACACAGTATTCTTCAAATGAGAGAATCTGAGGCCCTCATTTGATTTTTCCCCTAGAGTTTATCTTCAGTATCAGATAAAGGGTGGGTGCTTAATAGATATTTGTGTGATAGTGAGGAATGGGAAGAGAAGAGGGCCAAAGTCCTCTTTCCTCCTATTGCAGAGAATATAGCATCTAGTGAAATAGCCACTAGTCACCTTTAGCTGGTGGGCACCTGAAATGTAACCAATCTGAAATGAGACATGGTGTAAATGTAAAATACACACCAAATGGCTAAGAGTTCAAATGAATGAAATAATGTAAAATATCTCATTATCAATTAAAAATGCATTTATTACTTGTTCATAATTTAGACATATTGGAAGAAATAAATATTAAAACTAAAAATTAATACATTTCAAAAATTGTAAACACAACCTGAATTTTAAAATAAGATATCAGTTGAAACTGAGTTTTAAACATTTCATTAAATAAAAGAATTTGGGTCTCATAATTCTTCAGAATTTTTAAATGAAAAACAAACTTTTCTATAACCTTTTGTCCTCATATAACTTTCCTCATGGTCGAAAATGAGATAGATTTTGTATTTACTTATGACTAGTTGCTCAAAGAAGCAACTATAATATCCAATAAACAAAGGCAAGATTATTGTGTGAAAATTTCATCTCCAGAAAATTTAAACGGATTAATAAAAGAATGTTTACTACCTACAGATGTATCACGTTAGCCATGGGTGGGTTGCCTTTAACTTTATATGATAGTATAACATTCATTTTTTACCTTTAAGTTCCCTTAAGTTGTCCCCATTGTATGGTGAAATAGCTGAAGGATAAAATGTGTTTGGAATCTTTATTTGTGCGTATAAGTGTTGTCTGTGAAAAGATGAAATAACTGAAGTACTTTTAAATGGTTTAGGTGCCTGACCATTATTTCCCATATTTTATCAGCTTTCAACAGCAGACCTCTAAGGGTAATGTGTGTTTAAGGAAAAAGTATAGCAAACAAACGATTTTTCTTTCTAAATCAAAATCAGTGTTACTTCATCTTTTGTGTAGTGTCCTGAGATACTTTAATCCTGTAAAGAGACCTTTAAAGCAAAACTTTGAAGAAGTGATTCTTAGGTTTTCTATTTCCTGGTCTGTGATAAACCAGTACTATTTTATGTTTTTCATTTTCAGCCTACTCTCTCTCCCTCCCTCCTTTCCTCTGACATTTTTTTTTTCACTTAATAAATTGTTGAGGATCTACTACATTCCAGGTGATATTCTATATTAGGTATATGTTAATAGTACAGAGTAAAAGGAACCATTGACTCCACAATATTTATATTCCATTAGAGGCAAGATGGAAGATTTAGGTGGTCAAGGTTGACAGAGACTGGCCAATTATCTTTAAAACAAAAATACTAATGATCATCATCTGGACACATTAAAGTTTATAGCAAACCACTAAATCCTAAAATAAATAAAGTTGTAGGTATTCTTCCTAATCTCAAATTATATCACAAAGCAATAGTAAACAAAACAAGATGGCATAAAAACAGACACATGGAGCAATGGAACACAATAGAGAAGCCAGAAATAAACCTACACATATGCAGCCAACTAATTTTGACAAGTCCCAAAGGAAAACACAATGGGGAAAGTATAGTCTCTTCAATAAATGGTGTTGGGAAAATGAAATATCCACATACAAAAGAATATGATTATATCCTTATTCTATATCATACACAAAAATCAATTCATAATTAAGTAAAGACCTAAATATAAAAACAAACCATAAAACTTCTAGGAGAAAACATAGTGGAAAAGCTCCTGGATACTGGTCTGGGCAGTGACGTTTTTGACCAGGACACCAAAAACATGGACAAAAGCCAAAGTAAACAAATGGGACTTCATGAAACTAAACATGTCTACAGAACAACAACAACAAAAATGAACAAAATGAAGAGACTGCCTACAGATTTAGAGAAGGTATTCATGAAACATGTATCTGATAGGGGGTTAATATCTACTATATATAAGGAACTCACATTAATTGAATAGCAAAAAAATGAATAACCTGATTAAAAAATGGACAAAGGACCTGAATAGAAATTTCTCCAAAGAAGACATACAAATGGCCAAAGGGTATATGAAACAGTGCACAGCACCAGTCATCAGGAAAATGCAAATAAAAACCACAATGAGATATGACCTCACATGTGCTAGGATGGCTATTATCAAAGAAACATGAAATGAGCATTGGCAAAGGTGTGCAGAAAAGGGAACACATGTATGCTGTTGGTGGGAATGTAAATTGGTGCAGCCATTATAAAAAATAGTATGGAAGTTCCTAAAAAAAATTAAACATAGACCTTATGACCTAGCAATTTTCTAGGTACACCCCCCCAAGAAATGAAATCAGCACCTCATAGGAATATCTCCACTCCCATGTTCACTACAGCATTATTCACAATTGCCAAGATATGGAAGCAATCTAACTGACTGTTCATCGATGATTGGATTAAAAAATGTGGTATGTACATATATATAGCATGAGGACTATCTTTAATAATACTATATTCTGGAAATTCTGTAAGATTTTAGATGCTCTTAATGCAAATAAAGGGCTGTGAGATGATGGTTATGTTAAATTGCTTATCTGTAGTAATTATTTCACTGTATATATGTATATCAAAATATCATACTGAACACCAACTTTATATGGTTAAGAAAAGTATTTCCTGAAAGTAGTCATCTGATAATTGAGAAATTCTTTAAAGTTTCCTCTTCCTTCACATAGATGCTATTAAAATACTCCATTCTCTTATGATCCAGTTCACTTCAGCGGATTAAGTCTGAGCCTTTTGATCTCCTGCTCGGTGTGCTTTCAGATGAATCATCACACACTTAACATAATTACACAGATTCTTATCATTTTTTCCCTTAAACTAGCATTTTTTCCAGCGTTCCCCATTTTTGCTGTTGCTCCCGATCACTGAGTCTTGAAATTCTTAGTGGTTTCACTAGAATTATTCTTGATTCTCCATTTGCATTTTACCATTGATTTCCATTCATTCACCAAATCTTGATTGTTATTCTTCATTTGCATCTTCTTCATCTATCACGTCACATTGTAAGTTCCTCCATAATGGCCTTCAGTTGGTATGTATCGGCATCCAATTGGCCTCTTCCTACTAGTGAGTGCTGGCAAAAATGCCTTCTGCCTCAAGAACTCCTCTAAGTCTACTCATATTTAACCTCAAGATCTTATCAATAGGATGTGTTTTTTCAGTTTTGATTTTAGACAGTCCCAGAGATTTTGTCTTTTAGTATTTGTCAGCTCAAATATTGATGTGCGTGTGTGTGTGTGTGTGTGTGTGTGTGTGTATGTGTGTATATATATATATATATATATATATATATATATATAAAAAATAGTACTTTAGGTTTTGGGGTTTAAGTGAAGAACATGCAGGATTTTTGCATAGGTACATACATGGTAATGTGGTTTGCTGCCTTCCTCTCCATCACCTACATCTGGCATTTCTCCCTATGTTATCCGTCCCCAACTCCATACGCCCTGCTGTCCCTCCCCTAGTCCCCCCCAACAGACCTCAGTGTGTGATACTCCCCTCCCTGTGTCCATGTATTCTCATTGTTCAACACCTGCCTATGAGTGAGAAAATGAGGTGTTTGATTTTCTGTTCTTGTGTCAGTTTGCTGAGAATGATGGTTTCCAGGTTCATCCATGTCCCTACAAAGGACACAAACTCATTGTTTTTTTATGGCTGCATAGTATTCCATGATGTATATGTGCCACATTTTCCCTGTCCAGCCTATCATTGATGGGCATTTGGGTTGGTTCCAAGTCTTTGCTATTGTAAACAGTGCTGCAATGAACATTTGTGCGCATGTGTCCTTATAATAGAACGATTTATAATCCTTTGGATATATACCCAGTAATGGGATTGCTGGGTCAAATGGAATTTCTATTTGTAGGTCCTTGAGGAATCACCACACTGTTTTCCACAATGGTTGAACTAATTTACACTTCCACCAACAGTGTAAAAGTGTTCCTATTTCTCCACATCCTCTCCAGCATCTGTTGTTTTCAGATTTTTTAATGACTGCCATTCTAACTGGTATGAGATGGTATCTCAATGTGGTTTTGATTTGCATTTCTCTAATGACCAGTGAGATGAGCATTTTTTCATATGTTTGTTGGCCTCATGTATTCTTCTTTTGTAAAGTGTTGATTCATATCCTTCACCCACTTTTGAATGGATATGTTTGTTTTATTCTTGTAAATCTGTTTTAGTTCTTTGTAGATTGTGGATATAAGTCCTTTGTCACATGGGTAGGTCGCAAAAATTTTTTCCCACTCTGTTGGTTGCCGATTTACTCTAATGACTGTTTCTTTTGCTGTGCAGAAGCTGTGGAGTTTGATCAGGTCCCATTTGTCTATTTTGGCTTTTGTTGTCAATGCTTCTGGTGTTTTGGTCATGAAGTCCTTGCCTACACCTATGTCCTGAATGGTTTTGCCTAGATTTTCTTCTAGGGTTTTTATGGTGTTAGGTCTTATTTTTAAGTCTTTAATCCATCTGGAGTTAATTTTAGTGTAAGGTGTCAGGAAGGGGTCCAGTTTCTGCTTTCTGCACATGGCTAGCCAGCTTTCCCAACACCATTTATTGAACAGGGAATCCTTTCCCCATTGCTTGTTTTTGTCTGGTTTGTCAAAGATCAGATGGTTGTAGATATGTTGTGTTGCCTCCGAGACCTCTGTTCTGTTCCATTGGTCTATATCTCTGTTTTGGTACCAGTACCATGCTGTTTTGATTACTGTAGCCTTGTAGTATAGTTTGAAGTCCGGTAGTGTGATGCCTCCCGCTTTGTTCTTTTTGCTTAGAATTGACTTGGCTATGCGGGCTCTCTTTTGGTTCCATATGAAGTTTAAGGTGGTTTTTTCCAGTTCTGCAAAGAAGGTCATTGGTAGCTTGATGGGGATAGCATTGAATCTGTAAATCACTTTGGGCAGTATGGCCATTTTCACGATATTGATTCTTCCTAACAATGAACATGGAATGTTTCTCCATCTGTTTGTGTCCTCTCTTATTTCGTTGAGCAGTGGCTTGTAGTTCTCCTTGAAGAGGTCCTTTACATTCCTTGTTAGTTGTATTCCTAGGTATTTTATTCTCTTTGTGGCAATTGTGAATGGAAGTTTGTTCTTGATTTGGCTCTCTTTAAGTCTGTTATTGGTGTGTAGGAATGCATGTGATTTTTGCACATTGATTTTGTATCCTGAGGCTTTGCTGAACTTGCTTATCAGTTCCAGGAGATTTGGGGCTGAGACGATGGGGTCTTCTAGATATACAATCATGTCGTCACCAAATAGAGACAATTTGACTTCCTCCTTTCCTATTTGAATGCCCTTTATTTCTTTTTCTTGCCTGATTGCTCTGGCTAGAACTTCTAATACTATATTGAATAGCAGTGGTGAGAGAGGGCATCCTTGTCTGGTGCCACATTTCAAGGGGAATGCTTCCGGTTTTTGCCGATTCAGTATGATATTGGCTGTTGGTTTGTCATAAATAGCTTTTATTATTTTGAGATATGTTCCATTGATACCTAGCTTATTGAGTGTTTTTAGCATAAAGGGCTGTTGAATTTTGTCAAAGGCCTTCTCTGCATCAATTGAGATAATCATGTGGTTTTTGTCTTTGGTTCTGTTTATGTGGTGAATTACGTTTATAGACTTGCGTATGTTGAACCAGCCTTGCATCCCCGGGATGAAGCCTACTTGATCATGGTGAATAAGCTTTTTGATGTGCTGTTGCAATCGGCTTGTCAGTATTTTATTGAAGATTTTTGCATCTATGTTCATCATGGATATTGGCCTGTAGTTTTCTTTTCTTGTTGAGTCTCTGCCGGGTTTTGGAATCAGGATGATGTTGGTGTCATAAAATGATTTGGGAAGAATTCCCTCTTTTTGTATTGTTTGGAATAGTTTCAGAAGAAATGGCACCAGCTCCTCTTTGTATGTCTGGTAGAATTCAGCTGTGAACCCATCTGGACCTGGGCTTTTTTTGGGTGGTAAGCTCTTAATTGCTGCCTCAACTTCAGACCTTGTTATGGGTCTGTTCAGGGTTTCGGCTTCTTCCTGGTTTAGGCTTGGCAGGAGGCAAGTGTCCAGGAATTTATCCATTTCTTCCATGTTTATTAGTTTGTGTGCATAGAGTTGTTTGTAATAATCTCTGATGATGGTTTGATTTTCTGTGGAATCTGTGGTGATATCCCCTTTATCGTTTTTTTATTGCATCAATTTGGTTATTCTCTCTTTTTTATTAATCTGGCTAGTGGTCTGTCTATTTTGTTGATCTTTTCAAAAAACCAGCTCCTGGATTTATTGATTTTTTTGAAGGGTTTTTTTGTGTCTCTATCTCCTTCAGTTCTGCTCTGATCTTAGCTATTTCTTGTCTTCTGCTAGACTTTGAGTGTTTTTGATCTTGCTCCTCTAACTCTTTCAGTTTTGACGATAGGGTGTCAATTTTTGATCTCTCCTTACTTCTCATGTGGGCACTTATTGCTATATATTTTCCTCTAGAGACTGCTTTAAATGTGTCCCAGAGATTCTGGTATGTTGTGTCTTCATTCTCGTTGGTTTCGAAGTACATCTTTATTTCTGCCTTCATTTCATTGTTTATCCAGTCAACATTCAAGAGCAAGTTGTTCAGTTTCCATGAAGCTGTGCGGTTCTGAGTTAGTTTTTGAATTCTGAGTTCTAACTTGACTGCACTGTGGTCTGAGAGACTGTTTGTTATGATTTCCGTTCTTTTGCATTTGCTGAGGAGTGATTTACTCCCAATTATGTGGTCGATTTTAGAGTAGGTGTGATGTGGTGCTGAGAAGAATGTATATTCTGTGGCTTTGGGGTGGAGATTTCTGTAAATGTCTATTAGGTTTGCTTGGTCCAGGTCTGAGTTCAAGTCCTGGATATCCTTGTTAATTTTCTGTCTGGTTGATCTGTCTAATGTTGACAATGGGGTGTTAAATTCTCCCACTATTATTGTGTGGGAGTCTATGTCTCTTTGTAAGTCATTAAGAACTTGCCTTATGTATCTGGGTGCTCCTGTATTGGGTGCATATATATTTAGGATCGTTAGCTCTTCTTGTTGCATTGATCCTTTTACCATTATGTAATGTCCCTCTTTGTCTCTTATGATCTTTGTTGCTTTAAAGTCTAATTTATCAGAGATGAGAATTGCAACTCATGCTTTTTTTTGCTCTCCATTTGCTTGGTAAATCTTCCTCCATCCCTTTATTTTGAGCCTTTGTGTATCCTTGCATGTGAGATGGGTTTCCTGGATACAGCACACCGATGGGTTTTGTCTTTTTATCCAATTTGCCAGTCTGTGTCTTTTGATTGGGGCATTTAGTCCATTTACATTTAGGGTTAATATTGTTATGTGTGAATTTGATACTGCCATTTTGGTGCTAGCTGGCTGTTTTGCCCTTTAGTTGAGCTGGTACTTGTTGTTCCTTTATATGTGTAGAGCCTCTTTCAGGAGCTCTTGTAGAGCTGGCCTGGTGGTGACGACATCTCTGAGTACTTGCATGTTCCCAAAGGATTTTATTTTTCCTTCACTTATGAAGCTTAGTTTGGCTGGATAGGAGATTCTGGGTTGAAAGTTCTTTTCTTTAAGGATGTTGAATATTGGCCCCCATTCTCTTCTGGCTTGTAGCGTTTCTGCTGAGAGATCTGCTGTGAGTCTGATGGGCTTCCCTTTATGGGTAACCCGACCTTTCTCTCTGGCTGCCCTTAGTATTTTCTCCTTCATTTCAACCCTGGTGAATCTGACTATTATGTGCCTTGGGGTTGCTCTTCTTGACGAATATCTTTGTGGTGTTCTCTGTATTTCCTGGACTTGAGTGTTTGCCTGCCTTGCTAGGTTGGGGAAGTTTTCCTGGATAATATCCTGAAGAGTATTTTCCAGCTTGGATTCATTCTCTTTGTCGCATTCGGGTACGCCTATCAAACGTAGATTAGGTCTTTTCACATAGTCCCACATTTCTTGGAGACATTGTTCATTCCTTTTTACCCTTTTTTCTCCAGTCTTGCCTTCCCGTTTTATTTCATTGAGTTGATCTTCGACCTCTGATATCCTTTCTTCTGCTTGGTCCATTCGGCTGTTGATACTTGTGCATGCTTCACGAAGTTCTCGTGTTGCGTTTTTCAGCTCCATCAATTCACTTATATTCCTTTCTATTTTGTCCATTCTCATTAGCCTTTCATCAAATCTTTTTTCAAGGTTCTTAGTTTCTTTGCATTTGGTTAGAATATGTTCTTACTACCCACCTTCTGAAGTCTGATTCTGTCATTTCATCACACTCGTTCTCCATCCAACCTTGTTCCCTTGCTGGTGAGGAGTTGTGATCCCTTTTAGGAGGAGAGGTGTTCTGGTTTCGGGTGTTTTCATTCTTTTTGCACTGGTTTCTTCCCATCTTTAAGGATTTATCCACCTGTCGACTTTGTAGTTGCTGGCTTTCAGATTGGGACTCAAATCTTTCAGATTGACGTTCTGTTTGTTGATGATGAGGTTATTTCTGTTTCTTGGTTTTCCTTCTGACAGTCTGGCCCCCCTGCTGTAGGTCTGCTGAGGTTCGCTCCAGGCGCTGCTTGCCTGGGGTTCACCTGCAGCAGCTGCTGAACAGCAAGGGTTGTTACCAGTTTTCTTCTTCTGCTATCTTTGTCCCAGAAGGATACCCGCCTAGTGTCAATCTGATCTCTCCTCTATGAGGTGTCTTTTTGGATATATAGGGGTCAGGGAGCTGCTTGAGGAGATGGTCTCTTCTTTATAGGAGCTCAAATGGTGAGTTGCGAGCTCTGTTGTTGTTCATTCAGAGCTGCTGGGCAGGTACTTTTAGGTCTGCTGCAGCAGAACTCA